TATATATTGTATACTAGGGGTGCAACGATACAGAAAATTCACGATTTGGTTCGGTTCAATACTTTAGTCTCACGGTTCAATATTTTTTCGATATAAAAAAGAAAAATGTCCATGCCCCTTTTAACTTGTAATTTATTTAAATTAAGTAAAAACATTTGTTTAACCTCAAAAGTATAGTTTTTAAATTAAATGTTATTAAATGTTTAGAGAGACCTTTATTGTCATTGTACAGAGCACAATGAAATTACAGTTCAGAACGCCCGTTCAGAAGAAGACAGAACAGAACAAACATAGGAGAACAGGAGCCCTGGGTCATGCTGCCACAGACCCTGTACAGAGCAAGGATCATCTTCATGAAGACATCATGAGGAGGCRCWACCCTTAAAAGAAAAACTAAAAACCACACAAGGGAAGATGAGGGAAAAACAAAACAAAACAAAACATCATATTAAATCAACAATGTGACACACTACGGTGTTTATTTAAAAAACTCTGCATAGAGCAGATTACTTAGCCAGAGGAGTAAGTGAGTTTAGGGGTGTGTGTATCTGAAACCATGAGTGTTGTATGCTTGTGTGATTATCTGAAAAATAAGCCCGAAGAATCCAGTCCCAAAACCAGCGCAGCCATAGTCCAGAATATTGATGGTAACTGTTCATTCTGTGTGGCCTTCAGCCTGCTCCAGGAACCAGACCACAGACAGGTGTGAGAGGAGTGGGGGAGGTGTGGGGCAGAGCCTTGTCGATGTAATTCAACCAGGAAGAATTTAGTCCAACAGCTCAAGGCCATATAGGTGAGTTAAACTCTGTAATCAGTTGTTTTGGGAACAGAAAAGTCAGGCAGAGAATAACAATTTTCCATCTGCTTTAATGTCTGCTGGTGCATCTCAAGGTGGTGAATCCAATCAGACAAATGGTGTGGACAATCCCGCCGAGCCGAGCTATCAGCTTCTCCAAGATCAATTCCATCTGGCCAGCAAAGTCCAGGAACCACAGCCGGGCCGCAACCCTCAGCAGAACCCCTTGCAGACTGAGTCCAGCTCACTCAAGGCAAAAGTCTGAGTGCTGATAGAACGGCAATCCTTCATAATGGTCAGGCAGCCAGGAAATGAACAGCCACGGACGTTGTTTTGTAGAAACACCAGCAGACCACCAAGCCAATCTGTAGAATCCAGTGATCAGAATCCAGATATATATATCCAGAACAGAGAAGAACAGAGGACCCACATTTGACATGTTCTCCCATGGAAGAAAAAAAACTTTGTTCCAAAAATTTATTAAGAGGCCAGCTAACCAAATTCATAAAAAAATAAAAATATCCATAATTTCTGGTTTCAGATGAAAAATGTAGAGAAGGCTCCAAGCAGCAATGCAGGGAAGATAAGGAAGGGCAGGAGAGAAGGAAAAAGTGTCTTACTCCTCAGAGAGCGGAACAAATAAAAAATTGTTGTATTGTTGCACCCCTATATATACATACACATCTTCAACAATCTCTGTTGTCTGTCTGCTCCTCTCAAGGTAACTGAACCTTTACCAGGAAACATGATATGATCAGGGGAGAGTGGATGTACAGTAAATGCCTCTTCCTTACACAACTTCATTAGCAGCCAGTGGACAGTTATTTTATTACCCGACAGCAGAGAAAAGATTCAGAGGTAAATATAGAGCTAAAAAGACTCGGGGGGTAAAAGGAGTCATATAACCAGATAAAAAGTCAGAAAGAAAGCCAGATATTAGACAGGTGGTTGTTTTTAAATCTGAATGGAGGGCAATGACAAAACTGACTGCACATGTCAGCAATCCAGTAAAATCAAATAACAAAGTGAAAACCAAACTTTGGCTGCAGATATAAAACAACATCACAACCACATGCTGCTCTATGATATAATCCAGAACCTGCCAGTTTGCTTTTCTCTCACAATAAAAAGTTCACCACTACAGAAAAGGGCATTTATCATTCAGCTCGAAGCGAAAGCATAAAACCAATAAAATGAACCCTTGTTGGCTGATCCATCAATGTGAAAGTGCTGCAGTGAGTTAACAGAGCTGGAAGCTGTTTGAAAACATCCATCATGTAGCAACAGGATGTGAGCACCTTCATTCCTGAAAACAAGAAACAACAGCTAAAATGAGAGAAAAATAAATTAGCAGTTAGAAAAGTTACTATTTTGTGTTATAATAAAAAGAGAACGATCAGCAAGCTGGTTCTGAAACGTTACACAATTTAAAAAATACTTATAATATCTGTTGTAGGAGGTGAGTTCATTTCTATTTATGTTCAATCGGTTTGCTTTTACCTTCATTCATCACAAAGTGATATGTACCTCCTAATTTAACTTTTTTGTACCTTTTCACAATTTATTTTTCCAGCATTTTACATAATATTTTTAAAAGGTTTGTATATTGTTTAATGCAATTATTTATTTGAGCATGTCATTTTGAGCACAAACTTCAAGGTTTGAGAGGTTCATAGTTCAGATATTTAGAAATGCAGTTTTATGATAAAGCTGTGAACAATTACCATCTAACCTGTTGTAGATATTGTTTAAAAACCTCTATTTGGAGAAATAAAGTTAATTTCAGACCTGATTAATATCTGGTTTAAGTAAAAAACAGAGTGGGTTGAGGTTATCTTTTACATGTTAGTTATTTTAAAACAAATTCTGAGGTCATATGTAATCTTTGTTAGTATTTTTCTTGAATATACCCTCAAAATTTTGTTGCATAAATAGTAGAATATAAAACTGATGAGAGTGTAAAGGAGCATAAAAAACTGTTTGTATGAACCAGACTGAAATTTATAAGACTGAAGTCATTTTAAGATTGGAGCAAGCCACTTTGTTCTTGACCTTGAGACTAGCTGCTGCTAGCAGCCAAAACAGTCTGGCACACTTTGGACAACTATTTCATAATATTTCTCCTTGGTTAACTGTACAATGCAAAACTGACAGTGACGGTGATGTAAAGTGTAGAGTGTGTTCACATAAAACAATCCAATTGTTTTGAAATTTGAGTTGTTATAAGATGACTAGGGCTGCCACAAACGATTATTTTTATAGTCGATTAATCACCGATTATGTCATTGAATATAAAACATAGAGCTTATCGTGCCAGAATGCAGCTGCTATTATACAGTATAACTACTGTATCATTAGATTTTAGCTATATTGTATGCTAACTAAAAATAATTGAAGTGGAAGGCAAGTTCTGCCTTGCAGATATTGCACAGGTTTCTTTTTCATTTTCTTAAAATGATCCCACACTTTTGAGCTCCGTTGCTGGGTAGCCATGATACCAGAGCCTGTCTGTATAATGTCTTGTGACGTCCACGGCCTACCCCAGTTACCACTACTGTGCATGTGTGTCAAGGACAGAAAGGCAGATGTGGCAGTGGAAGGTGTCAAAGCAGTTTGGAGAGAAAAACAAAGTAAAAAACAAAAACAAACAAACAAAAAACAAAACCTGACTAATCGACTATTAAATTAGTCATCGACTATTTTAATAATCAATTAGTCATCGAGTCGACTAATCATGGCAGCCCTAAAGATGACAGCAGCACACTTTTTTTATCGGTATTTATCAAGTTAGCTGTTAGCTCGTCTTAACTCTAGTCTGAATAAAAGTCTATTTCTCCAAACTCAAAGTGTTCAAAGGTTGATCTATGACAGCAATATATAGTAATTGTTCATAAACATTCTGTCTGTCTGTCTGTCTGTCTGTCTGTCTGTCTGTCTGTCTGTCTGTCTGTCTGTCTGTCTGTCTGTCTAATCAGAGTTGTAAAGTAACTAAGTACAAATACTTTGTTACTGTTCTTAAGTAGAATTTTTGGGTATCTGTACTTAACTTGAGTGATTATTTTTCAGCCTACTTTTTACTTCTTACATTTTCACACACTTTCTTTCTTTACATTTCTCTTCACAATTTCAGTACTTTCTACTCCTGACATTTAAAAAAGGCAAGCAGTAGAAAGTCGTTACTTTTACTTAATTTTTGCTTGTTTTCATTCCAGCTTGTTATTGTAAAAAATAAATACTATCCATATGAATTTTGCCTCCTAGATAGTGAATTTGATTGTGGTTGAATGAGAAGTATAAATATATAAAATTCTGATACTGTATTCAAAAGTAGAGGATGTATTTGTATTTCATGAATTATATTATTGCATTTGGTTGCAGTCCTCAGATAGATTTTCATTTTGGGAAAATGCTTGTGCAGCCTTGATTTATGTATATAAACTGAAACAGCTGCACTAGTGCATCCTAAATTTAACATAAATTAATTATTTTAACATGACAGCCATTTCTGCATTTTTTTGGGGAGGTCACCTCCTAATAAATGTTATTACAGAAAATCTACCTGCTCATTTTAAATCAATACTTTTACTTTTAATACTTAAGTACAAA